AAAGTGGTCCCTCGATTTATACCTGATGACGTCATAAAAGTGTCATGCTGTCGCCGATCGCGATCCTGGCGGCGTCTCAACAGTTGCGGTGTATATGGCAGACACCTGTTCTGCTGTAGGTCGCTCTTCACTGTGACAGTCCACGGAAGTTAAAGGAGCCGGAAGTTGGGACGCCTGGGACGCCGTGACGACAGCGACACTCGCGTTCGCTCATGCGTTTCACCAGCATTCCTACGGCCAACCGCCAGGATCGCGACAGGCAACAACATGACACTACGGCTTCTGTGACGTCATTTGTTGCCACTTTGGACTATTTTGATGTATTGGCGGGATAGGACGCCAAACACATGAGTCGAAGACGCGCTCCAGGCACCATAACAGAAGTGGAAGGAAAGAATGAGAAATAGCCGTGATGTTAACACGAGCACGTTTCAGTGGCCTGGTATAATCGATGATCTCCCGCACCCCCGAAGTGCCGCGATTTCAGACCGCGGCGCCTGCGCACGCCCTTGTCTTAAAACGGAATGCGACGGCCGAAAAAGAAATAAAAAAAAGTATTTCTCAGTTTGAAAAAAAAAATGAAGATACAATTGTTCTGTTTTTCTTTTTTTTTTTTATGTACCTAATTGTCAGTTGGATCCTTCGCTATGTACAGTAATATAAATATTATTTTTAAACCAGCTACTTATCTTAGTTTATTCCCCATGAAAACTGATTATTCTATGCATTTTTTATATATTAAATGTTTACAACTTAGAATGCAGCAAATATCATATAAAAGCTGCAAAAAAGATTTTTGAACAAGTGCTGAAAACGTAACATTTTTGTACCTGATTGGCCGACAATTTACGAGGAAATCAGAGCTGGATATCGGCAGTTTTTATCGCACTTGTAACTTCTCTCCAAATCCCCAATGAGCAAAGACTCATTGAGGGTTTAATCAATTTACTTTAATTAAAACAAATTCGTTTAATTATTGCATAAATTAACAAACAACAAAAAAAGCACGCCGTTCTCTCTCAAAAAGGAGAAAATGTTTTTCTGGTTAAAATTAACTGGGAAGGGCTCTTTTATACTGCCGAGAACAACTATACTGTCTATAGTTATTCTCAAAAGGGAAGATGGGGCACTTCTACATTTGAGAAAAAACGCTTGAATCGTGTTCATTTGGCCTTTAGAATGACAGATATCACAACTATCTTTCAATGTGACGCGCCGGACAGCCATACGAGCAATTTCAAAATAGGGCTGAGGCCCCGCCTCCCTAGCCTTGGGCAGCCAAGAGATCCGTCAATGACGTCACGTACAGCGACTGTCTTTCGCGTTTTTCTCGCGTTTAACAATTAGCGGCGAGATGTTTTGGTGGCGCCCTCCTATAGTTCCCCCTTGTTACGTCATTACCTTGCTAACAACAAGTTCGATGGTGTTCGTAAATAGCATGGTGGAAGCTTGAAATCATTGAGCTCTTAAAGCAAAACTGCCAACACCGTCAAAATTAAAGTTCTATCATTCCTCTTATTTCCGTCGATGATAAATCCCCTTTCCTACGTCATAGTCAGCGTTCGGCCAATCGTGGAAGGTCGACCACAGCGACGCTTTCGGTCGCGCACGGGGCTAATACTTGCGCAGCAAATGGTTTTGATATTCAGGTTCACGGGGTAAAAACACACTAGAATCCACTTTTAACTCATTTTTTTCAAGAAGCTTCGTAGCTTCCCTTTAAGAAACGCGGGGTGTGTTCCGTGCATCTCCTTATCGGTCCGCCGAAAATCGGATTGCGCCGTTAGCGATAATACTGATGCCGAATTGACAAATCACCAAGCTAGAAGACGGAAAGTTATATAAGCCGTGCTTGTCTTTCTTTAGCCGTAATGGGCGATAAAAATCATAAGAAGCGCAATGGGGGGCTAGTCTCGAACGTCTCGTCGTCTCTTCATTGAAATTGCTGCATCTGCCAATGAGGAAAGCCGGCTATCGTGGCTTTATTTATCTTGTTATTGTTCCCGTTCAAGGCAGCAGCACGCCTCCGAAGTTTGGTATAAAAAAATTTTAAAAAAATATTCCAAATCCTCTTATACTCACTTGCCATGCTTTCGCGGCACGTTATCGCAGTCCGATAGCGTGACTCGTGCCACGATATCGCAGCGCATAACTTCGAAGGCTCGGATGTGCCTTTGAAGTAGCGCGCACAAACCTTGGTAAGACGCAACACAAAAAAAAGAGATTTTTTTTACTTTTTTGATTTAAAACAAGAAAACAAAAAAAAGATACGCTTAAAGTAATTTTAGTAGGCTGTCGATATTCCGAGTGCACATTTAATGTACTTTCAGCGTACATCATAGCGTACATCGCGTCAATCCAATCCTCTGGCAAAGTCCGGATATTCTAGAAGTACAGGGTGTCCTCGAATAAAGTTTCGGTTCGTGTTTTTTTACCGGAAAAATAATCTACGCATTGCCAAACCCTCAGCCTCCACCCACGCGTAGCATTGGCAGTCTGGACCAGATGCAAGGTTTTAGAGCATTTTGGTTATCTTGTTTTAAAGTTTTAAGCGTTTTTTTTTGTTTTTTTTTTTTTGGGGGGGGGGGGAACTTTTGATGGGAAAATGACGGCCGGCGAAGGCCGGGAATACATGGAGCTGAATGGCATCATCCATTGACAACGGGCCTTATTTTCCCCATTGAATATTTCAAGAAGCTCACTTACGACTTTTGAATCAGATAAAGGTTTGTTCTCAAATTTTTGCACCTGGTTAGAACCGCTGGTATTACGCTCGGGCAGAAACTGAGAATTTTGGCGATGCCTGATTTATTTTTTATGTAAAAAAAAACAATTATTAACTGTATTAATGAACAAGTCTTCAGCAAGAAAGTCGTAAACGTAGAAAAATGTTTGAACAGCAGTAGAGGCTTTAATACACGACGTTTAATACACGACGTTTAATACACGACTTGAAGAAGGGAAGTCTCTTCCCGAAACGTCGTGTATTAAAGCCTCTACTGCTGTTCAAACATTTTTCTACGTTTAAAAAAACAACAAAAAAGGTTTTACAGTTTTTTGTTCTTTCTTTTTTTGCAAACACGTGGTACGTATTTGATATATGTTTTTCAAACTAAAAATATACTTTAAGTATATCTTGGGAAGTGTTTAAAAAAAGTTCAGAACGAGTGTGTTACTTTTACCAAGGCAGACGTTGATTGGTCGCAGATATGGAGCTAGTCTTTGTACGTTGATGAAAGATGGGCGTGTGCCTTACACGGCCCGTTCACGTTGAACTAAAAGCGAGCCTTAAATTCAGGTTGCAAAATTGACGAGTCCAGAAAACTTCTTTAAGCTCAACAGTTGTCTACTGTGACCGCTTGGCGCTGTGAAATTTTGAAGCGGTAAAAATAACTAACTGCACATACATACAGCTCCATGTGTTTTCATAGAACCTGTGGCAGCACAAAGTGAATGCTGCTGCACCAACGAGCTATGATAGGTGCCGTCATCTTTTTTGAAGTACACATTTTAAAACATTCAGAGCAACCCCCAGTAACAGACCAGTGTATGTGAGATGGTCACAATATGTTCAGCGGGAATCGCAAATATGGGAAGTTAAAAAAAATTGTAACTTGACGTTATCTTCAGTAAATTGACTTGATGTATGCGAAACATTCTCCACTCTATAAAAATATATTTCAATTCACTTTGATGATAATGCACTTAATGCAAAGGTGGAAGCGAGCTGGACATATTTGCATTAAGTGAATTATCATCAAAGTTAACTCAGGTACAGTTTTATAGAGGGGAGAATTTTCCGCATACATCAAATCAATTTACTGAAGACAACGTGATGCTACAAATAATGCAAATGTGTCCAGCTCGTTTCCACCCATGCAATAACTACATTATCATTATAACCTTAAAACGCAGGCCGCTCACCCCTTTGGGTTTAGTCTGGTGGCGGCTAGTAAACCCTGTTTGCTTTTCTGATGTCTAACTCCTGGTTAGCTCAGTTGGTAGAGCGCTTCACTGGAAATGGAGAGGTTCCTGGTTGCATACCAGGACCAGTCGGATTTTTTTTTTTTTTTTTTTTTTTTTGTAGCGCAAAATTCATTTAGCTGTGTTTGGAGATTTCTGTTTGTCCTTTCTCCTCCTTGTTCCACCTCTCCAAGGATTATTATTGTCATTTCAGTTAAGTTTCCTCGGAGCACAAGACAACGAATCACGGCGAATTGTACAAACTTAAAAAATTAAAGCAGCGCAAAAAAAAAAAAACAAAAAAACGACGGACTGGATGAAGGAGAACACCAGGCAGAGCTCTTTCTATGTCCTCCTTCATCCAGTCCGTCGTGTTTTGTTTTGTTCTTTTGTTTTGTTTTGGTTTTTTGCGCTGTTTTAATCGTTTAAGTATGTCTTACCAACTAGCCCAAGCTTCAACTTCGGAATTGTACAAGCATCTCAACGAACGACGAAGGTAACAATGTGATTGGATCAAACAATTTTGATGTGTGCAAAGAAGATGATTGTGATGTTTCAATTGCTCACTCAACCTCCGTACATTGCGTTTTATAGATCTGTGTATTATGAGCTGTGTTATTCTCTCGGTTCATTCAATCGTTCGCCTGTGTTCTGAAGGCAAGTGAACGTACAGACTTTTTCTCAGAGTGTAGTGGGTCAAAATAAATCGCCAATATAGTGAAACGAATGTTTCACAGCTTTCGAGGGTTTTGAGACGTAAACACTTCACTGATTGTTCTAATTTATGACTGTGTCATCAAGATTCAGTTACCTAAGTATTGATGACTGAGTCAATCTGGCGGAATAATGGTGCTCTTAATAATGCGATACATGATGGATTGGATTAGGACAGAACTGATGGGCATCCAATAAATTATAAATTCGCAATCGGGTACAAAGTTAGTACTATTCATTAAATAAACGTGTAATGCGTGCGTTGTAAACTGTGAAGGGCGTAAGCAGAATTTGAGTTAGAACTAGGAAAATAATGAAACAAATGACTTACACATGCCTAGTGTTTATTCTAGATCAATTTTAAACTCGTTGAAGATTGGAAGACAATTATTGTGCATATTTGTTTTTAGGGTGCGTAAACCACAATTCTCCGAACCCTCGGAGAATCTTCTTCAGCCCGTGCGCTGTCAGACGTCGAGCAACGAAGCTAGGTGTTGTAGTATACACTCAGCTGCAGTGACCATAGGTTGAGCCAAGAAACTGTTTTCATCACAGAATGTGCTGCCCCTTTCCGTCCAGCAGCGCAACGAGGGAAAGACAGCCAGCTACACTTGGACCTCTAATTTGATGGGTGGCACCATCCCTTCGGGTATCGTTTAGCCAGAGCTCAGTATCCGTTGACTACGCTGACCACCAGACTCCATCCTAGGCGCCTGACGTAGCATTTATAGTGTTCACGTGCGCTTAGCGTGTCCGGGGAACAGTGCGCAGAGAAACAACTCAAACGCCGTGACAACAACCCCAAAAAGGTTTGCCGCGTAGAGGTTCACATCCCGCAGCAGTAGCCCGAAGACAGCCCACAGTAGCGACACCACGAACGACAACACGATGATGCTGAAGGGCAGCGAAGATGCGTCCCTGTCCCGCAACACCCTCGGAATTCCCGGCAGCGGCGACAGATGGCAGCACACGACGGCCGCCGACCCCAGCATCCCCAGGTGGGAGGCGCTCACGTGCTTCCAGCCGGCGCCGGCAGCCACCACAAACACCAGCGCACCCCAGAACACCACCGAGTCCTGCCCGACCTCGCCGTAGGCCCGGTGCACGGCGACGTTGACGAGCTGCAGCGCCGTGCCCACCTTGTTGACGAAGACGACGGTGCCGTTGTTCGTCGCGTACCCATACAGGAGCCAGACGAAGGTGCAGAGGCAACCGAAGACCAGCGGCAGGAGAGCAACGCCGCGGGAGCTTCGCTGTCGGTGCATCCGCCAGACCAACGGCAGCCCGCTGAAGAAACTGACGAACGTTACCGCCGTCGCCAGTTGTCCTACGCACCATGTCGTGTCCATCGTAGTGCAGCGGTAACCCGCGATTGATAACTTCTCCGGGGAGTCGTCGTTGCGGCCTCCTCGCGCAGTTCCGAGCGAGGAAAGTGGCGAAAGGTTCCCCTATCTCTGCTGCCGTCGCTTCGACTACGCAGATAAACGACCCTTGTTGTTGACGTCGTGGATTCGCACGAGTGACCTTGGTGTCGACAATGCAGCCGCCGCTCCCGTCTTTTCTGGAGAGTAGCCCAGAGCGTCGGCAAGGGCGCTTCCCCGCATTCCACCACCCGTACTTCGCCGATCGTCCTGCGCGGAGTTTGACCCAGTTTCTTTTTTTCGGGGGTGCGACCGCGGGACCGCGCCGACGCGAGCGCTTTGTACCGGCTCCGACAGATGGCGGGACGCCTGCTAATTTTGTTTGGGTGTGAGTTCTAAAACCCGCCCAGGCAGCCTAAATTGATGCGGAGCGTCATGTTCAGACGCTCCGCCTCTGAACATGACGCCGGGATTCGTCGTGTATCTTTCGTGTTTTCTCTGTTTCCTCTTTGCCGCTTTACCTTTACCGTATTTAATTTTAATTGCTGCGCGCTTTGTGCTCCCTACACTCCACGTAATGTCCCGCGTCTATTTTCGAACACAAAATACCGGGGAGAGGCAATCGCAGCATCTTGCGGGGGCGCTCGCCCAATGAAGAGGCTGAAGTGTAGGTTTAGACCCAGAAAAACAGTCCGCGCTTCGGAACTCAACGTTGAGGTTCACCAGCTTGCTACATGCTTCAGTGTCACAGTGCATACTGTTTTTCTGGGTCTTATCAAACCTCCAGCCTCGCCTTCTCCGAGCTGCCCCCGTAGATGTCAGCGCTTTGCTCTCTAAAGAGCTTTGCAAAAAAACTAGGCGCACTGGATTTTTTTATAACATATACGGTTGCAGCAGGAGTTGCGACATTAGACACCCTGTCCTACAAGTTTAAAATTATATATAGACTTATTCAATGATGATTGACCTTCTTGGAGAACTAAACATGTTACAACAACTGGATATTTTAATACTTCGTTTATTTCCATCTGACTTGATGGTGGACGTTGAGGGGTAAAAGCTGGAAATACAGATTGACCAGGCCCTCGACCCTCTACATTGGCACTACAGCGGAGGTACAGGAAAAAATGCTACTTTATGCGAAAGTACAAAACGGTTGGATAATATACGCACACAACACACAAATCCAAGCAGATTGAATAATCCTGGAAATCTTGAACAAACCGCCAGATCACTGGTATTTTACCTATCTAGGTTAAAATATTCTCTAAGTTGCTTAAATGACATCCTAATCAGATCCAACTCACTAGCATCAAATTAGTTGAGCCATTTAGGCAGCGTATATCTGAACATCTGAGAGCCGTAATCTGTCCTCTGCGCTCTACCATTTAGCAATGTTTTGCGTGCCGAGTGGGGTAAACCGGTTCCCTTACAGATAGATGGCGCAAATTCGTAAGAAAACCCGTATTTCTGTAGCTTTCCAATTTGAATGTATTCCTAAGTCTATAGTTGTATAAATTGTATATATTAATAACGCGGAGAGCCGTAAACAGACCAGCTGTATGAGAGTCAAATGGAACGCAACCGATAGACCTCAGCACCCTTTTTTGTCATAAAAATATTTTCTCAAGATTGAATAATGTAGCTGAGCTCTAGGCGGAGCTAGCAGTAATATAATTAAGTGGGAATGAAACGGTGAATTATAGATTAGTAACTTTATATTCTTTGGTGATATTTATCGATGACGGTATATCAATCGAGCTATTCGTGACAGTTTAGGGACTATCAAATTAATGTGATCATCCCAGGACATATTTCCAGAAACAATTACTCCCAATGCCATGAAAGGACTCAGAATCTCAATTGGAGTTGAATTTAGAGTGATATCTCGCGTTAGACTGATTGGTTTATATTTCTTTATTGTTTTATGTTTATTTGTAATAAGTTCTCCCGACTCCAAATTTACAGTTTGGACAACTTTAGATTTACCGTGTCCACCAGCACATCGTAGTCCTCTCCCAAAATAAGTATTGTTGTATCGTCGGCATAGTTTACAAATTTGACGTTTGGGTTAATGTTTATGACGTCATTTACATATAGGTAAAAAAGGAGGGGACCTGATATACTGCCCTGAGGAACACCACGAAGGATTGGTTTTACTCAGGAAGGATTCCCATTTAGACAAACATACTGGACTCGATGCTCTTGGTAAGACTTCAAAATCTGTGACGCGTGTCCCCGAAAGCCATAAATATAACGTTTCTTTAGTAAAATTTCGTGATCAAGGCAATCAAACGTTTTTGTAAATTAAACAAAAAAAACAAAAAAAAACTCCCAAAATCATATTTGTTTCCCCGAAACTTTGCAAGATAAACTCTTTCTGCGCAAGTAAAGCGGCCCCCGTTGAACGACGTTTCCTAAAACCAAATTCCGAATCTGTAATCAGTTTGTATTTATTTATGAATTAGTTTAAGCGGATATAAAGCACTTTTTCCAGCGCTTTTGAAAAGATCGCTAGTATTGATATGGTATGTAGTTTCCCATTTCATTCCTGTCTCCTTTTTTATGTAAAACCGAAACTTTAGCTATTTGCTTGCGATTTGGGAATGCTGAAGTTAAAAAAAAAAGCCAGGTTAAAAATATGACTTCGCATTGGAGCTATAAAATCAACAACATACCTCACCGGTCTTATCTGGTTGGCACCGGCATAACAGCTTCCGCTATTTTGCGAATGCAGGATAAGAGAAATTATTTCCGATTCACTAACTGGTTCAAGAGATAGTGAGGCGTCGTTTCTTGACACTTGCAAGCAAAAAAAAAAAAAAAAAACGAGAAAAAGAACGGGAGCTGATTCTTGTAGGGCAGAACTTTTTCTGAAATGGGATTTCGGTGATTGTATAGCTGCATTGAAATTTCGAAGCGTGATTCCATTCGTCTCTTGATTACCAAGGCGTCAAGCTGTTCATGAGCACAGAAAATAAACAAATGAATGAATGAATGAATAATGTCCGCGTGTTGAAGTAGCAAGCAAAAAATAAAAATGAAGAGACATCTATTAGCAGACCTATCAGTCTGTTGATACAGAGGCAGATAAAATAGATTAGGTTTCATTTAGTCAAACTATTTAAAATGAGATGGAAAAAAACGCATATCACATGAGTAGGGCTGTCAGTTACAGAAATAAATGACTGACCCCAAGATGCGTGTGTATATTCAATTTTTCTCAACTTCCTTGAGTAGTTTCAAGCTAAAATCAAAGCGAAAAAATCATGATTTCTTTTTCAAAATAAAATCAATCAGATATATATGATTTAAATCAGACTTAATTGACTTAAATTAGATTTCTTCGATTTAAATCAGATTAATCTAATTCAAATCACCTTACCTTGGAGAAGGAATTTTTTATCATTAGATGCAATTGAAAAATCACAGATCGGTTTATCAATCCGCTTGATCGTTGAATGCAGCGCGGAAGAATAATTACAGCGAGTTTAATAGATTGATTATCAACCTCTTATTAACGTAAACTCTGGCATACTAGAATAAACGTATCTTCAGATTTAGTTCCTGAAATCGTTTTATTTTTTTTTTTTTTATTTCCTGTTCTGATTTCCTTCCTATATAACATTACATAACTGTCAAACGAAGTGGAAGGTGAAAATTTGAACTTTCCGGTTTGCTCAGAAGAGCGCGACGTTTACTTGGGTTCAGCAATATAGAACCTGGTGATCCTTTGTTTTTAATAAAAGTGGATGCACGTAAAAGCAAAACTAATTTCTTATCGGAAAATGTTTGATTAAACTCGTCAAAGGAGATCCGGTGTGATTTAGTTCGTGATTCAAATCATTTTTTTTTCACGATTAAAATATTTTTTTATTTTTATTCTTCACCCTGGGTAGGATAAAATTTATTTTGGTCTACGTCTTCCACATTGTAAATTTTGCACTTGACCACTTTCTTTTTTCCTACCTCAAGCATAATGCCAAGGGCATGAACATTTGAAAGAGATGATAGGGACATCTGCGTCTTTTTCAAACCTTTGATTCCTAACAGTCCTGTGTTCCTCCCGACTGAAGCCGCTTTGATGTTTTCAGTGACGCTGGCTTGTATAGTGGGATCTAATTAATTTTCTTTAGACCACATGAACTGTATTCAATTAAACATATTTTTTATGTTAGTGGAATACAGCTTCTATAGGCGTGGAAATCACTGTACACACAGGTAAATAGCAAAAGGTTTGGACATAGCAAGTTGCCGTTGAAATCTGACGATAGGGTTGAAAAACATATCGGAAAAGATGCTGACTGATATCTTGTTCATATCAATATACCTGACTCTATGCTGGTTAAAAATAATCGTAAGCTTATGTTAGTGTGTAATGGCCAAAATTTGTTTTAATAAATGGTACTTCCCACGGTTCTATACTTTGTGTCCGGTCTGTATAAAAGTTTTCTTTAAAATTAGCTACCTTTTTTACGTAGTTTTACATTTGGAACATCAGCGGGATATTTTTTTGTCTGTTTAACGTTCAGTTGCATCATATAGAATGCTTCTCAGTATAGTTTTGTGTGATATCAACATTTTTCGGTGATCCGTTTCAGTGAGGGGGGCCCTATTTATACGCGAAAAAAATAATGAATTATAGATGATTAACTTTATCTTAATTGGCAGAATATATCTGTAGCCATATTACACATACTGGATCAAGAAGCATATTCTGGACGTCATCCCACCGTAAACGTTTTTCGTATATTATTCCAGAAGATTTGTGTTGGCGATTGTTTATATTTAAAAGAAACATGCTCTCTAGACGGCGAAGTTATTCCCTGTGACCCATGGGCATGACTTGTCTGGAGCGAAAACGGCACATGACTCAGGCGTGTCTAGAGTGGTTTCTGTCGCTGCCGAGTGGTGCCCATAAGTTTCTACGCACCGATGTTCTGGTTCACTCTATTTAGTCGGAGACAAGTTTAGAGTTAAGTGGAGGCTCCTCCCATCTATTTCCACTTTAGCAGAGCGAACGGTGGGGAGGAGGTCGTCTTTCCTCAAGCGTTCGTTCCACTAAAGAGGAAAGCGGTAGGAAAAGCTTCCCCTTATTCGAATATTCGCCATTTTCAAAAAACGAATCGATTATTACTCTATTCTATTCGTTAATCGACTCAAATAAAAATTTTTAGAAGTTTCAATTATTTTTTGAATAATTTCCGAATAGTCATTACAGTGTCGCGCCGCGAGATTCCTTTCACAGGCGTCCCACAACGCGCCGGCACGCCTGCCATAAGTGCCCGGAAGATAGCAATACGTACGGTCTTCTCTTAGACAATGATTTTCATCATTGTCAGGAGCAGTTTCTCTCTATACGTACGCTGCTGTTCCCTCCATTAGGGACCACTGTGTTGAGTATAACCCCCCTTACGCGATATGCCGAGAGACGAGACAGACGACTTCGACCCGTTTTGCTGTCGCTCGGTCAGTCGCGCGATGAGGCAAGCCGCATGAAAGTGGCGTGAGCAAACGACCAAGGCGATGAGGACGTTTCTAGAAATCCGAACACCGAGCGACGCGATGAGCGACAGTAAGAAGTCTCCGTCGCTCACTGACTCTCGTCGCTGCCGCTCCTCTCGTCACTCGCTAAATCGCTTACATGCGGTTCAGCCCTTAGAGACCGCTTTCGCACGAGACTGTTCGTGCACGCTTTCGGAAAGCGTGTCGTGGAGTCGTTTCAGAACTGGTTGCCACGGTACCGCCGATCAGTATGAGCGAAGCAGAAGTGGTAGAAGCGAGAAGTTCTTCGGAAGACAAAGTGCCGTAGAGTGTGGAAGTCTTTCAGCAGCTTCCATGCAACCAATAGACGATTTGCAATTTTCCAAGCAACCCGGCCCGCACGCGAGGAATTGTGGGAGAGACCGTCCCTCGCCTGGCCGCTCTGCCTTGAGATCGCATTGCCTTGTTGCTTGCCTCCCCTTATTCCTCTGTTTTTCGATTCCATAACCTATTTTTATCTATTCCAGCGTATTTTTATTGCTTCTAAGAGTTCCTATTCTCTTCTGCGCGCGATATTTCTTGTATATATATATATAGCATATGTGTCTTTATTTCGCCTTTTTCGACGGGAGTACCGACGGACAACACGCCGCTTCGCGCGTCGTTCCCCGGGTGAGTACTACACTCTTAGAAGAAAGGGTATGGATAGTCCTCCCTTAGGGGAGGAACGGTCTTGTAACCTATGTTACTTTAGAAAGGGAGAAACTTTCGTCCCTGAAGCAGGGGAGCAAAGTTCCTCCGTCGCCTGCATCTCATTATGGTGGCCCTGAATCGAGCAAATCGAGCTCAGTAAGGATTAATGAGGACGCTACATCTCGTGTACGGGACGAGAGGAGCAGCAAATAAAAGCGTAACACGAGCTTTCTGCGAAATGTGTTTATTTTCGAAGCCAGATTCCCCCCCACAGGTACCGAAACTTCCGTTTCGAAAGCAGTTACTCGGTCTTCTCGTCGACAGCACTGCGATGTCAAACGGAGACAACCGAAACACAATTTACCTTTTTCGAGTAAGGAGCGCCGCCTGGGGAGTTGTCTGCGAACTATAATAGAAGAGCAGCCCAACATGCTTCCGTCCGTCAAAACACGTTGGCATCTAGCCGTTGTATCGGTTTTCAGTGCTTTTTATATCCCATACTACTGACACTAAAAACAAAGCGTCAAAATAGACTAAATACGCGCGAAGATAATGTTGCGGTTGCCATTTTCGCAGGGCACCGCGTCCCAGTGTCCTGCGAAAATGGCGATAGCGGGAGTGTACGCATGCGCAGAAGGTCACTGGAAAAAGGTCCATTACTTCGCGCACTTTGCGTCTTACCTTTGGTGTTCCTCGAGTCACAATTCTTTCGCCAACCGCACATCACGGAGAAATGGCAAACCAATTCGCGAAACCAAAATCCGCTCTCAAAAGAACGAACTCGAAGCCGCTGTTTATCGCGTAGCGTGAAAGAAGGTTAAATCGCTTGCCACCAGATGGCAGAGTCAAGCAGAGTAATTTCAAGTTGCTAGGATAGGTGGCTCTAGGTACCGCCCAATTCATGTTCTACAAAAAAAATAATTTTAGTTTTTCACGCCACTATTGCGCATTGGGATCTTCTACTATACACACATTAGGCATAGTACAAGCATCAGGTGAACATACATTGAGCACATACACATACACATACACATACACATACTCATACATGACACATACAAACATTAATCAACGACACGCCACATTAGCCCGAACACTACATTTGGCTCTGCGTTTCCGTCTTTTATACTGGTCGTTTTGAACGCACAGACTGTTTCGGTGACTGAATAAGCAATAAAAATATTACCAGCATGTTGATTTTTTTCCAGCAATTTCATACCTCTGAGAGTATTTAGAATGGCTCAGGGGATGAATCTCTTATTAGAAAGCAAACGTTCGATCACGCCGTAATTATTTGAAAGCAATAAATCAAGCCACTCCAATGCGGTTCAAAGCCATGAGTTTGTTTCCCCGCACGGCACGTCGTAGCCTGTATTTCTATTGTAGTGTTTGTTTTTCTATTTGTGCTGTTCGCGCAAAGCTGCAATTGCCGTCTTGAATTAATCTCTGTAAAGCGGATATTCACTCAGTTGGAAGTGATGCTTCACGGGCTGAGAAATCGCTTTTCGATCAACTTAAATGCAGTCAAAGCCTCGACTTGCGACAGGTGTTAATTGTACGGAGCTACGCCGTGGCGAGCTCGAAAACTTCTAGCGCTCATCCCAGCGCGCCACTGGAGGGCAGTTTCTCCAGGAACCGTAGTATAT